TCACTTTCTAATTGTTTTTAGATGATTAAATCAAACAAGTCAATTTATGATAAGTTTTAATATTATAATCAATAATTAAAGCAATAAAGAACACCAAAGATGATCACGGAGAAATTTCAACTGGGTAAAAATTATTTTAATACCCTACCCTTTATTCCTTGGAAGGCTTTTGATACTTGACCCACTTATTAGTTACCTATTATTTTTGGGCCAATTACTATTTACCCTAAAAAGCCTACATATACTATATATTGGCTGTTTCTGTTGCTTCGTGTTTTCTGGAACATTATTGCTGAGCCTCCCTTTTCTTGAGAGATATTGGCTGCATCTTTTACTTTGTGCTCCCTTTGTAGTGTGTTATCGTCTCTCATTTCTCTTAGTCTTTGTGGCGATTGTGTGGCTGTAATATCCCCTTACTTGTGTCTTCAGTGGGCAAGCCAAATAGCAACCGATTTTGGGTGCGGGTTGTGGTTTGAGTTTTGTGAGTTTGTGGTGTTGATTTTGGTATATATATGATATATTGAGCCCAGAATTATTTGGTGATCCATTTTTCACTCAACAAAAATAAATTTTATTAGTGAAAAAGTACTATCATGGTGAATGAGTAATTTGTCTTTATTCTTGTCTTCTTTCCCGTTCTGAAGGAGATAAAAAGGCAGAGATAGAAATGAAGAAAATAGACATTTAACTTTGAAAGTTCATTGCTTGTTTGTCTTCGACAATCTTAAACATTTTCACAATAAAACCTTCACATTCACATTTTCTTTCAAAAGCTCTAAACTTTATGAAATGTCGTTTGGATAAATTACTATGTCCAAATCCTGTGAGGCATTCCCGACAAGACATTGAGAAAATATCATTCTACTCCAACAATTTTCACAAATGAATCTCTCTCTCTCTATTATGTAAATAAATCTGTATCACTGTTCTTGCCAAACTTTGAAGATAAAGATAGAAGTTCTTATTGATGATTTCATTGTAACTTGTTTTTCAACCTTCATAGGAATGAATATTCATTTGATCATAAAAGACAATTACTCGAAATTTTTAAAAATCATATTTGACAAATAAGTAATACAACAATAAAATTGACTTACTTTTCAGCACAACCCGGCCAAATGATATGATCACATAATTCTTCTCTTTTTGAATGATATTGCAGTCGGCTCAGCATGTCTATTACGATTAAATCGCTGTTGTTTCTTCTTCGATCTTCTCCTTCCATGGCGATGTCGATGTTGATGTTGGCCACGCCCTTGCTGCCTATGCGTCCTAACAAACTTTCTCTTTTTACTCATCCTACTACTTGACATCTCGATATCACTATATAACATGCCTAAATTCTTCCTCTCTTCATCTTCTTCATCACTTGAACTAATCGTATATCCAACTTCAACATCTTGAAATCTACGCCGACGACGATGGTTTACCCGTTCTACATTCTTTAGCTTGTACCATAAAAAACATGTCATGTCTTCCAATGCAAACCAATATGCTTGACATGAACCCCAACAAATCTTAATCAGACTTCTCCCTATGCATTGGCAGATTCCCACCTTGAACAGGAGGTACAAGAAAATCAAGGCTGAGAACACAAGAAAATAATTTCATTTAAAATTTAATTTTCCTTTTTGCAGTAACAAGCTAGAAATTAAACACGCGAAGAATGTACATTGAATATACTATGAGCCAAATCAACCAACCCCATTTGTTTAGGACCATTTGCAATTATGTCTAAATTGGCTCGAAAGAAGAGAGTAGTTACTTAAATAGCAGAGTCCCATAACCATCAGCAATTGGAATAGACTGGAGAAACAGAGATGCTCTATGAAGCATTCAACATCCCATGTTCCTGAACAAACACCTCTGCAAAATCACCAAAATAGAATTTAGGGTTTAGTGGCAAAATTAAACCGTTTCAGAAATCGAGAAAATTAATTACACACTCGCAAGATCCTCCAAAAAGTGCTTTGAAAGGAGCCGCCAAACCGTTGCCAATCAGAGTTCCCACGCCATTAGCAGCATTACTCAGTGCACTTCCCATTTCTACTCAATAATCAATTTATTATAAGCAGTTTGCTGTGAATTGTAATTTGAACGAAGAGAGACTGAGTGAGAAAAACTGTTTTCTAACGGTTTAATTTGGGTAAATTTCGACATGGCTTTTAAAATTTAATTTTTCTCAATTAAATCATTTACCGAATTTAAATTTAGACCCTGTTTGTCTGATTTTAATTCAAGTTAACGTCAAATAATTAATATTAACCACATTTTCACATGACCCTGAAGTTTACGGCAGGGTACTCACTTTAGTGGTCTTGAGGGAACTAAAACTTATGACCATTGGAGAGCAAATTCAAAGCCTAACCAAGAGTCCCACAACTTTTCAATCACACGTGTCAAAAGGATTTTGTTACTCTTACAGCCTTGCTTCACATTCCGGTTCACAACTTTTCAAATTTGCAGACGTGGCAGTGCATAGTCTTAAAAAGATCTCAAGCTTTTTCCCCAACCGCCCCCACCTTTTCCCTTTTACCCACCCCAAGCCCACCCAAGTTATTACTTATTACCCACCCCTTTACCATGTAAATAATGTTTCTTTTTTTGTTTTTATCTCAATTTTTGAAATTATTCTGGGGATGCTAAATAAAGTTAAAATATTACATTTTTAATATATATCGAAATGTTCACGACCTAATTTTGCTCATCTCTAACGACATGCGAAATGGCCAGCCGTAGCAAAAGTTAGCACTCGTCGAAATAAGACGTTCCCAAATATATTTAGAATTTTTCTTATTTTTGTCTCAATTTTCGAGGTCATTACGGGATATCAAACGAAGTCGAAATATTGCATTTTTAATATTATATCGAAGTACTCACAACCTAATTTCCCCTATCTCTAACGACGTGCAAAACGGCCAACCGTAACAAAAGTTAGCACTCGTCGAAGTTAGACATTCCAAAATATATTTAGGATTTTTCTTATTTCTGTCTCAATTTTCGAGGTCATTAGGGAATATCAAACGAAGTCGAAATATTGCATTTTTAATATTATATCGAAGTGCTCAAGACCTAATTTCCCCCATCTCTAACGACGTGTGAAACGGCCAACCGTAACAAAAGTTAGCACTCGTCGAAATTAGACGTTCCAAAATATATTTAGGAATTTTCTTATTTTTGTCTCAATTTTCGAGGTCATTATGGGATATCAAACGAAATCGAAATATTATATTTTTAATAATATATCGAAGTACTCACGACCTAGTTTCCCCCCATCTCTAGTGATGTGTGAAATGGCCAACCGTAACAAAAGTTAGCACTCGTCGAAGTTAGACGTTCCAAAATATATTTAGGATTTTCTTATTTTTTAATATTATATCGAAGTTAGACGTTTCTAAATATATTTTAGAACGTCTTATTTTGACGGGTGCTAACTTTTGCTACGATGGTCGTTTCGTACGTCGTTAGAGATCGGGGAAACTAGGTTGTGAGCACTTCGATATAATATTAAAAATACAATATTTCGACTTCGTTTGATATCCCGTAATGACCTTGAAAATTGAGACAAAAATAAGAAAAATTCTAAATATGTTTTGGAACGTCTTACTTCGACGAGTGCTATTTTTGTTACGGTTGGTCGTTTCGTACGTCATTAGAGATGGAAAAAATTAGGTCGTGAGCACTTCTATATAATATTAAAAATGCAATATTTCGACTTCATTTGATATCCCATATGACCTCGAAAATTGAGAGAAAAATAAGAAAAATTCTAAATATATTTTGGAACGTCTTATATCGACGAGTGCTAACTTTTGCTACGGTTAGCCGTTTCGCACATCGTTCGAGATGGGCAAAATTAGGTCATGAGCATTTCGATATATATTAAACATGCAATATTTTGACTTTATTTAGCATCCCCATAATAATTTCAAAAATTGAGATAAAAACATAAAAAGAAACATTATTTACATGATCAAGGGGGTGGGTAATAAGTAATAACTGGGGTGGGGTGGGTAAAAGTGAAAAGGTTGGGGGCGGCTGGGGAAAAAACTTTGGATCTTTTTAACACTATGCACTACCACGTCTGGAAATTTGAAAAGCTGTGAACCAGAATGTGAAGCAAGGCTGTAAGAGTAGCAAAATCCGTTTCAAAAACTTCTATCACAATTTACTAAAAATCTAATTTTAATTCACACTAAACATCCACTTGTTTGATTGTGATTTTGTTGTTCTACCACAACAATGCCTTATCAATTTTAATTTGAAGTTTTAAAATTCCTTAACTAAAAGTTCACGGTGATGCACAAGGAAAGAATGTCATGAATCATGTCGCTCTACTATAGGTTGGAGTATGTATCTTAGTGACTATAATTTCACGGAAATACAAAAATAAAAAAGGGCCACCAAATCTTCAACTAAAGTAGAACATGTTGGAAGTTGGGTCGAATAACGTTGTGAAAAAGTGAATGCTATAAAATGTTAATGGTCGAGACAAGAGTTCGACTCTTTCTAGTTAAGACGATAATGTCCCGACGGTATACTGGCACTCGTCTCCCAAAATACAACGACCTCTACTTATAATGGTAGCACTACAAATTACAAGACCCGGCGAACCTACTTACGTTTTGATCTCTCTAAAAGTTGGAGGACTAAAATGCACGAAAATTATTCTTTGAGGCTAGATTGCAAAATATGAATAATGCAGAGATGAATGAATAATTTCGAGAGAAGAATAAAATCAGAATTGATTTTGGAGTGAATAAAAACTGGGGTATGGGAGGCCTATTTATAGAAGTTGAAAGGTTGTGTCCAAAAGACACTAGCCGAAAAGTTGTGTCTTCAACAGACAAACTGTTTGGACCGTCAACCGTCCTTTTAGAAGAATCCACGTATCACGCACAGAAAAATCGGGGAAAAAAATATAAATGAAATATATTATTATTTTAAATAATAATAAAATAATATAAATCAAGTATTATTTTACTAAAAAATATATATCAATTTGACACAAGTTTAAATCCAAGCCCAAACCCACAACCCTTACTCGTGCTCGTGCCCGTGCCCGTGCCCGTGCCCGTGCCCGTGCCCGTGCCGGCTAGTCGGCGGCACGTGTGGGCTTTGGCCCAATCTACGGCATGTAGGTTCTCTCCCTTTCAAAAATTATTGGCACCCCTTGAGACCCAAATCCTAGTCCCAAACTTAAACCATATAAAGTTTATATTCTTCTAACTTTTTATGTGGGATTGACACTTTTTCAATTTCCCACCAATTTTTATTTCAATTTATTTCAACTTCAAATGGTCATCTTTTAATCTTAATTTTTCATTCACCCTAAATTGGTTTTGAGAAAATAAATACATTACATCAGTCTACTCATGGAGTATAACACACTCGATCAAAGAAATATTTTATCCAACTAATAGGACTCACTAAAATAATTGGTCAAACCAACTAATAAAAATCAATTTTTTTTTCCAACAGAACATATAGCTATATGCTGTGTTTATTCTGAAATTATTTGGTTACGTCAACTTCTATATGAATTGGGATTCTCTCGGTTGACCTCCACACATGCAGATAATGTCATTACTATTTGCATTGATGTAAATCTTAATCTCGTTGAACATAGGGACTTTATATGAATCAAGTAGAACTGTTCGAATCATTTGCCGCTAGGCTCGGTTTGATCCATCATGCGAGCCAGCTAGCTTCAAGAAAGTTGGGATCATGGGATGAGCCGAGCCAATTTGCGGCTCAATATTTTTTCTCTTTTTTTTTTCGTTGTTTTGCCTTTTATCTTTTATGTTTTCCCGTGAGCCAAAAAAAGGCCACTGGCTCGTGATCCAGCGAGCTGCCTCACACAAGTTTTTTTTGCTAATAGGCTCGTGAGCAGTTTACCTATGTCCTAGTTGGTTGTCATATGATAATTGATCTTCTAAGAAATCAATAAAAAAAAAAAGGAGTGTTCAGCTATGTCTTTAAATTAAAATATTAGAATATAATTTTTTAAAATTTTAACATTTTATGAAGTGACAAAGTAGAAAGTTAACATTACACAACTATTACATAGAAAATTTGTTGCAATGTGCTAGTCACCATTTCAACAATTTTCACCGATTTAGGGGACGACTAGTACAAAGTGGTAAATTCTGAAACTAAACTGAAGTTCAATGACTCAATTGAAACTAAATTGAACTTCATTGACCCAATTTGAATAAATCAAAATTTAGTGATCAATTGAGATTTCACCGATACAAATCCCAAAAAAATAGAAAAGGTCTATGTGCACACAAAAAAAAAAAACACAGAAAGCATACAATATACACACAAATAGGCGGGCCCCCCTTTTTTTGACAATATTTAATTCACATGGAGCCCACCCCCCATGTGAGTATCTGTATTGTTTCTGTATGAAGTATTATAATTTTTGAACTTATTTATTTGTTTAACCTGTAGATTACTGTTTTGTATTCATAAAACATTAAACACCACAATTCATCGTATCGATTATATTCTTACATAAATATAAGCTGTTAATTACTTTTTCAAAGACATTAGTAACATTTTTATTTTTATGAACATGAAAATATGTAGCCAAATAATTGTATTATCTATCAATTAATCAGTTTCTTTTAGATGTTGAATCTTGTTCACAACCTCGTTCAACTCCCACCTCTTCTCCACGTCCTCTTGGCAACAAGCTATTCCAATATGCACAAGCTTTTCCATTTCTCCTCTGCATTCCTCTGTATTTCCCATCTCGTGATCGAAAACTTGTGTATTGCTTTCCAGTTCGTCGACAATGTCGTTGATCCAACCAGCTAAATCAGGGCCATATCCGGTGCCATGATGAGAAAGGTACTTTGCCACAAACTTTCCTGTCAAAGTTTCTAATATCAGAACTCCTAAGCACCATACGTCTGTTTTCTTTGTTGCTCGACCATGTTGTGCGTACTCCGGTGACTTGTATGCCACCAGGATTTGCTGAATTTGGCCAGAGTTCATCACAGGCTCGAGTGTGTAATCCATCAAAAGTGGCTCGAAGTTTTTGTCCAAGAGCACATTTGAAGATTTTAGATGACCATGAGGTACACTAAGGCTTGGCAACTCATTGTGAAGATAAGCTAGGCCATTCGCCACGCCTTTGATAATTTTTAATCGTGTACTCCAATCAAGCCCCGGATGCTCTGCCGAGTGTTTACCTTGCAGAACCAATAGAAATTAGATTAGACAATAACAGTAACAATTGATTAATGAGTTAAAAATCTGGTTCGTCCGTGACTAAATATTGGCATTTCAAAGTTCAGGAATCGATCGTGCCTATGAATTTAGAGACGAAAAAGAAGGAAATGTAGCATATTTGTATACCATGAAGATGACTGGCCAAGCTGCCATTGTATGCATAATCAAAGACTAAGAGCTTTTCTTCTTTTCTGTACAAATAGGCAACTAAGGGTAGCAGATTAGGGTGGTCTAGTCTCCCAAGCCTTCTCATGTGCTCGTGGAAGTCTTCTCTTCCTACATTATTCATTTGCTTAAATCTCTTCACGACTAGCGCGTCGCCATCTACTAATACAGCCTTATACGATGCTCCGAATTTTCCACTCCCTAAAACTTCAGCTGATGCTCTCAACAAGTCCTGCAAGTCAAACTTGCATCGCTCTTCTCTAACAAACGACAGTTTGCCGGGTTGATCGGCTTTTTTGGGATTCCCATTTATCTGATCAGGGAGCGGCACGCTTTCAACTTTGACATTGTCAATCTGAGTATCAGCAACAGTTACTGCACTATTCTTTTCGTCGCAGGCTTGACCAAGTTGCGGTGTTCGGCCTTGACGGCTTCGGCGATAAAGGAGAAGAAGAATGAGGATAAACAACAAACCCACTATAATAGCTAAAACTATTATTGCTATTCTCCCAGCAGATGACTTCTTTGCAGGGGGGGTACTTGTCGGGTCGAGAGGTGTTGGAATGGAAGCATCCGGCTCGTCGTCCCCATCGTCAGGGAACGGGACATCACATGCTGTTTCGAGAGGCTTTCCGCAAAGCCCTTTGTTATCTGCATTAATTAATTCACTTTTCAAGTTTTGTTTCAGTATCAAGGCGATGAAGATTAAACATTTGTCGACATATCAACATGTAAACCGATCGATGGCCTGTTTTATGTTAAGATTATCGTCCTTTGGTAAACGAAAAACTAACCCAAAAATTTATAGCAATGACATACCTGAAAAGGAGCTTGGATCCATCTTGCTAACAACTGCTGGGATTGGACCTTCCAATTGATTATGAGACACATTTAGCACTTTGAGATAATCAGGCCTAAATTGTGGTATATGGCCTGTGAATTGATTGTTTTCGATCCTCAACTCTAAAAGCCGAGGCGATTTGGCTAGAGATGTCGGTATTTTACCCGTAAACTTGTTGTTGGCCATATAAACTTTCTTCAACGAAGTCATGCCAGTGAAAGCATAATCCGGAATCTGCCCCGAAAATTGATTGTTAGACACGAAAATGGACTTGAGTGCACCAAGTTTTCTCCAATCTGGCATTTGCCCCTCGAAACTATTGCTCATAAAACTCAGAGTCCTCAAAGCCCGCAATGGAATAAGAGACTCAACGTCGATTTGGCCCCTTAGATTCATTTTCTCGAGTTGCAACCCCCATACATAGCCATTGAAGCACAAGACACCATTCCAATTTCCATAATTTCCATTACATGGACTTATGGAGGAATTCCAATTGGAAAGAGCCTCTTCTGTGTTTGCTAGGGAGCCTTTGAAATTTAAGAGAGCTTTGGTGGCATCATCTTGATCATCACCCAATGACGACGTTGGTGCAAACACGAGTAGTAGAAGAAGAAGGCCAACGATAAATGTAGTTGGAGGTGGCAGCCGACATAGAGGACGGGCAGCTTGAGTGCCCATCGGAATTTCTCCGATAGGCAGAGGAGGGATCGTAGGACGTTGAATGTCGAATTCTAAGGACATAAGGGGTGAAGTTTGGTCTATTTGTTTGTTTTCTTTGTTTCATTCTTTGTTTTTTTGTTCTATCGATGTGTTTGTGTGTTTTTCCTTGATTGTGGGGGGATAAGGGGAGGGAGAGAAAGAAAGCAGTGTGTGAAAATTACATAGTGCTAAGAATAGAAGGGAGACATGTTAGGATCAAAGAGGCTCCATTGTTTTAGGAGACAATCCACGATGGAGAGATATCTTAGGCAAATCCCATGATTTTTCCAATTAACAAGGATGTTCCAATCATGAAATGCATCGTATTGGTCCTTGAATTTTTTGTTATCTCTTCTTTATATCATTTTATTATTTAAGTATCAACTTAGCTAGAGGTCGGAGTGCTAATAACCTTCTTTATCCCATTTATTCGATATTCATAGCGAATCAACGAGAGGTTGGAGTGCTATTCATCTTCCGCATCATTCTGCTACATCTTATTCTATGCTGATGAGATCTTTTTAAAGATGAACTTACATGGCAAGTTAGAAATGGTAGGAAAATTCAAAGTTTTTAGTTGTCATTTGCTCGCCCGAGCCATGGTATCTGGAATTCCTAAATTTAGGGAAGAG